GTTTGATTTTGATGGCACATGATTGGTACACTTTTTACCTTAATTCCTTGACCAAGTTCAATTAACGGCGAATTCCACTCATAGTTAATGAGGCTGCTGTGACCTGATTGGCTGATACCTTTCAGCACTCTTACTAAAGGCTTTCTACATGTTATCTTTTGAAGAAACAAATGAATTTTGATGATGCTTTCTTGGTAAACTTATTTCATAATTTCTTCGCTCAAGTTCGATGAACTGTGAATTACGTGCATATTTAATCATGATGCTGTTACCTGATTGGTTCTTGAAACAGTCTTGAGGATTGCTTCCTACACTTCTTTCAAAGGAATGATAAATTGTGTTAGAAGACTCACTAAGCAGACTTATTACCTTAACCACTCTCTTAACTTTGATTATTGGCTAATTCTGCAGATATCTAATGAGGCAGGCGTGTCCTGATTGAATTGCACTTGATATCTTCTGAAGTAATGATAAGATTTAGATGGGACTTGATATGTACGTTTACTATATATGGAGACTAATCAAATAAGGCTGCTCTTACCTGAGTGTATGATTGCTTTCTGCAGGACATCTGAAGTTATAGTAACTTTCATTTTCCAGCATTCAAAATGAATATAGAGGTATGATAAGCTGATTTTAATATTCACAGTATTATGTTACTGAATAGTTACTATATTGATCACTTTTAATTGGACTTTGTACTGAACATAAACAATGAATGGTTTCCATAGTTTACTTTTCCATGTTGCTCACTTAAAATGTATATATTTTGCAAACAAACATGGGCGGGGAATCTTGATGACTATGTCCTGGTATTTATATGGAACAAATTAGGTAGATCATGATGTCCTGTGGTAATGTGCTTTTAAATACAGACAATATCCTAGCTACCTGTAACAGTGGATAAACAAGTTCATGCATGAGTGATCCAGAATTTGTTTATGACTTGTGTTGTAAAAAATATATGTGTGATCCAGACTTGGTTTGTGACATGTGTTGTAAAAAATACATGAGTGATCCAGACTTGGTTTGTGACTTGTGTTGTAAAAAATGCATGAGTGATCCAGACTTGGTTTGTGACTTTTGTTGTAAAAAATACATTGGTGATCCAGACTTGGTGTGTTAGTTGTGTTGTAAAAAATACATGGGTGATCCAGACTCGGTTTGTGACTTGTGTTGTAAAAAATACATGAGTGATCCAGACTTGGTTTGTGACTTGTGTTGTTAAAAAATGCATGAGTGATCCAGACTTGGTTTGTGACTTGTGTTGTAAAATACATGTGTGATCCAGTTTTGGTGTGTGAGTTGTGTTATAAAAATACATGAGAGATCCAGACTTGGTTTGTGACTTACCAGTGAACTAATGGCTAGACAGAAACCAACTTACTTGTCAAAGAAAAAGTTATAAATATGTTTATCTCCAGGCAAGCATTACCTGCTCAGTGTTTTTGTCTACTGTCTATGATTAGTTTGAAGTATAAGAATAAGTTATTAAAACAGGTACGGTAAGACTGGAATCAAAGGAAAGCATCCAACCATATTTCATAAATATCCTTTTTCTTAAATCTTTCTTCTTTTTATTTATTTGGAAGATGGTTCAATTTTCTTATTTATTTACAGGTATGATATGACTGACATAAAATCAAAACATACAACCGTGTTTCATTGCTGTCCTACATTTTTTCTTTTGTTTATTTGGAAGTTGGTTCGAGTTTCTTTAGTCACCTCTTTTTCAGATTCCCTATATTTAATCATCAAGATTTTACAATGCTTATCTAATCATTTTTCACACTTTGTAACTTTTGTTTCTGTAACACTTTAATGTTTCCTCACTAATCTGCCAAATGCTATGCTGTTTTCCTTCAGGCTTTTGTAGTGTATGTTCCACTAGTTTTCACCACGCATATACCACCACTACTACTAACCCACCAACACCACTACTACCTTACTGCCGGTCCAGGCCAGGTATGACCTCACCACTTCCTTCAGCAATTATTATGTCAACATAATGGCAGTATTAGGGGTATAGCTATACTATTGTGATAACATTGACCACTTACATGTATTAAAAATCATAATGTACTTGTGATGGTTTTAATGATAAAAGTACATATAAACTGGTATATAGAAAAATTAATGAAAACATAAGTTCTGCAGATGACTTCCTATTTTTTCATTATCCGTTCTGATGGGATCAAATGTAACAGCTAGCAGTAGTGACTTAAGGATTCCCAATTGACACCAAGTAAAAAATGTTTTTTGATGTAAGACTTAAATGTTAGCTCTGGCCTATTTGTTAAAATTAGTGTTCTAGCAAAAATCCTGGAATATGATTATCTTATCGTTATGTCTTTTTAGTCTATTTGCTTTTTAGATTATCACCTATGTTTATGAAAGAACGTTTTCTGGATCATTATAACAATGCTGATAAGATAAATTCAGTTCATCATTATGAGACCTTAATGTGCATTCTTGCTCCAATAGTCTTCTGGCTTTCAGGGGTTAAGAATAGCATTTTCACTTTACCTAGCTCTGCACATCCATGCCTTAAAGTGTTACAGTAATTGAACAGAAGATGCTTACTGTTTCAGAAAATTTGATACTCTTCTTTTATTTTTACGTGTGTTAATTTTTCAGGACTTAATTGATGTTTTGCTCTGGTTTTATTGATTTTTAGAGAGAATAATATTTTTGTTGACATGGTTTAATTAGGTAGCAGACAAAGGCAGCGGTTTTTTCTTTACTTTAATGATCAGAATTAAGGGTATCATTTGATTTTCTTAATTAATGAAATATTTTGATAAAACTAGAAATCCATCATCACTGTTTTCCCATTTTAACTCATGATTACAATAGCTTTCCCACTAGCTCAAGACAATTGTTTTGAAATTTCTTGATGCAGTGTTATTAAAACACAAAAACAATAAAGCTGTTTCGTTTGATAAATTAAAAGCTGAGAGCATTATTCACAGTAGAAGAGTTTCTTCTTAACTAAAATTGATTGGCTACTAAATTGATACAGCTGTTTAGACACAGCAGTGAAACTTGGCTACATAACCGTATTGTTACAGACATCGAGTACCATCTATGAAGTGACTCATTCTAAGCCATGTTATTGGATGAACAACATCAGAATTATGCCAGTAAAGCTGCGTTGATCTGGTGTTCATATGATAAATCATGGTGTGTTAGATAATTGTGTAATTTTCTTGTATTAAAAATTTATATCTATTTGCTTTCTGTAATGTATAAGGGATGTTGATTCTACGGAGACATTGGTCCACAATACTACAAATTAAACAATATTATTACTCATCAGCCTCCCTAATTTTTCCTGTGAATAAATTTAGATACCCTGTCCTTATGATACAATCCATATTGTAAATATTCAAATATTCATACTTACTATGATGTGGTCTATTTTTAAAAATTTTTACTATGAAAATGTACATGGAGTATTTTAATTGCTGTTAACATCTAATTTATTATTTAATTATGGTTATAGCAAAATAAGAGCAAGTAGAATCTGTTAATCCTGTCAACATCTAGACTTTTCTTTGTATGATAAAAGTTTATTATAATTCTTGTACATTCTGATGTAATATTTAAATTTTAGTATGGGTTCTTGATATAGTGATATTGTAGCAAATATAGTGATATTGTAGCAAATATATTGATGTTGTAGCCAATATATTGATGTTGTAGCAAATATATTGATGTTGTAGCAAATATATTATTGATGTTGTAGCCAATATATTGATTTTGTAGCCAATATATTGATGTTGTAGCCAATATATTGATGTTGTAGTCAATATATTGATGATGTAGCCAATATATTGATGTTGTAGCAAGTATATTGATGTTGTAGCCAATATATTGATGTTGTAGTCAATATATTGATGTTGTAGCCAATATATTGATTTTGTAGCCAATATATTGATGTTGTAGCCAATATATTGATGATGTAGCCAATATATTGATGATGTAGCAAACTTTAAGGCTAGTACAATAAAACTAGTCAATCATGTCACAATTGCTTTATGTTGGTGGACTGTTGTCCGACTAAAAAATAACCCTTATCACTATTTATTTTCCTTCAAGGGAGACAACTTTCTGTTTTCAATCATATTAGCATGAATGACATTAGTATAAAGTATTCATCAATAGATTGATTTATTATTGTTGTTCTCCTTCAGTCCTAGCTTTTCTCTGTATCATTTTTTTATATCAGGTCTTTCATATTTACTCTTGGGTATCTCCTCTGTTACCGTACAATCATTCAAATTTGTGGGGATTTATTTTTATTGAATTTTTGGGTAATCTGATTCCTTAAATTCTTATGTCCACTAAAATTAGTGCAAGTAGATTTATTGATCTCAATATTTATCCATGAAATCAAGTACCAATGAATTACTATTTTAAAAAGAAAAAGAAAAAAAAAACCGAAAATTGAGCCTTTTAAAAACTTTTGATCTTACAGTAAGATATGCCCCACAACTAGACCTATCTGCTTGGCTATTTGGATCTTGTCCACATGTTTGAATTGTTCCTTGACTGAAGCATTCATATACATTATATAAATTCCTGGGACTACTGACATGTTTATTGATTAACAGCAGTCAACTAATATGAATAAAAATGCCTGAGTGATATTTCTGAATGATATGTACAATCAATCTGGCATGTTGTCAATTTTTTACATGTTAAGCTAATTTTGCTATGAAAAATTTGTGGGGTATTTTCATTTGGAAGAGGTGGGGGGTGGGGCAGAGCTCGAGTTTGTTGATTTCTTGTTTAAGCTATCAACAAATGTTCCTTTGACAAGTCTCAACATTAGCTATGTATAGTACACCTTTGCAACTCTTTTTTATTTTTTACTATTCCCCACATAATCTTTATTTGTTGTACAGGGGCAAATTTAAATTATTGTGTTTTAATCTAAATGGTATATGAAAACATATTTTTTTACTGATGGGCTAATTCCAATTTTACCTTGGCAGGCTGTCGATATGGATGTATCTGTCACCTGTGTAAGTTTGCGGAGTCGGCACCTGATCACGAGAGTGGACCGTCTCTGGATACACCATGTGATAAAGAGTATTGTCGACTGGGTTGTATCTGTGATAGCATTGGGGCACGGGGTCATGATCCCATGGAGGAGTGTCAAAAACCAGAATGTCAGAACGACTGTTCATGTATTAAAGAGGAGGACTCTGTGGAGGGAACAGAGGAGGAGAAACGGCAGAGACAGAAAGCAGCTCAGAAACGATTCGAGGCTTTGCCTCGTCGACAGTCCACATACAGACTTGCCAAGAACCTAGATGCTGTGAGCAGGAAAGCCATGCTGTATTACGAGAGCAGTGAGATGTATTGTACAGAACAAAGTACACGGAAACGCAAGAGTAAGGTAAGTAGTGTTTGAACACAGACACCAACAGTATTGATATACAATATCTATATCTTTATATTTACATTCTGACTTGTTTCTCTTAGTGGATCAAACAAATGAAAATGACAAACATCTGACTTTGAAATACAGCCATTAACTTGAAACAATCAGCTGATCTCTCACATAACGTATCAGTTATATTTGTACACCAAAAACTTTTTTTAAGTAAGAGTAAGCTCCCCTTGTCCAACATCACCAAAAGTGATTTAATCTTTAGTTATAGCATTATGGTCTGTTTACTGTGAAGGTTGTTTTCCAAGAATGAAAAATTGAGACCTTAAAAACAGTTCATGGTCAAATCCTTTATCCATTTCATTACCTTGAAGAATAATATGTCCTTTTGTTTAAAGTTTTTAATAAAACTGCAGAAATTTGAACTTATTTGAGGTTATTGTCCCTTCGAACTATGGCAGGGGGGAAAGTTAACTAACATCTACTCCAGAGATGTGGTACCTTCCTTATGTCATTTAAATTTGCGAAGTATGGATTTCATCACAGATTGCCAAGGAATTTCAAATCCTTGCAGTCAGATGGTTGTGACTGTATTAATATTTTCTGAGACTGATGATCACACTATGGTTAAACTTTTATTTTTAGGTCAATTTCTTTATCAGTTATCTGGTTTTGCCAAGAAAAGCTATTCAAGTCTAACATTGATGTTATAGAGTGATGAAAATGTTGAAAGCAACTTGGATTTCTGACTCATTTTGTACTTGCTTTATTGGGGTTCAAGTCACCTTCAATACTTCAGGGTTTAGGGGTTCAAGTCACCTTCAATACTCCAGGTTTTGGGGTTCAAGTCACCCTCAATACTTCAGGGTTTAGGGGTTCAAGTCACCCTCAATACTTCAGGGTTTGGGGGTTCAAGTCACCTTCAACACTTCAGGGTTTAGGGGTTCAAGTCACCTTCAATACTCCAGGTTTTGGGGTTCAAGTCACCCTCAATACTTCAGAGTTTAGGGGTTCAAGTCACCCTCAATACTTCAGGGTTTGGGGGTTCAAGTCACCTTCAACACTTCAGGGTTTAGGGGTTCAAGTCACCCTCAATACACCAGGGTTTGGGGTTCAAGTCACCCTCAATACTTCAGGGTTTAGGGGTTCAAGTCACCCTCAATACCTCAGGGTTTGGGGTTCAAGTCACCTTCAATACTTCAGGGTTAAGGGGTTCAAGTCACCCTCAATACCTCAGGGTTTAGGGTATAAGTCACTTTCAATACTTCAGGGTTAAAGGGTTCAAGTCACCTTCAATACTTCAGGGTTTAGGGGTTCAAGTCACCTTCAATACTCCAGGTTTTGGGGTTCAAGTCACCCTCAATACTTCAGGGTTTAGGGGTTCAAGTCACCCTCAATACTTCAGGGTTTGGGGGTTCAAGTCACCTTCAACACTTCAGGGTTTAGGGGTTCAAGTCACCTTCAATACTCCAGGTTTTGGGGTTCAATTCACCCTCAATACTTCAGAGTTTAGGGGTTCAAGTCACCCTCAATACTTCAGGGTTTGGGGGTTCAAGTCACCTTCAACACTTCAGGGTTTAGGGGTTCAAGTCACCCTCAATACACCAGGGTTTGGGGTTCAAGTCACCCTCAATACTTCAGGGTTTAGGGGTTCAAGTCACCCTCAATACCTCAGGGTTTGGGGTTCAAGTCACCTTCAATACTTCAGGGTTAAGGGGTTCAAGTCACCCTCAATACCTCAGGGTTTGGGGTATAAGTCACTTTCAATACTTCAGGGTTAAGGGGTTCAAGTCACCTTCAATACTTCAGGGTTTGGGGTTCAAGTCACCCTCAACACTCCAGGGTTACAATCAAAACTGAAATTGAAGCACAAGCAAATTAATTTGACTGGTCAAGAGTGTGTTTGAGGAGGAAAAATTGACAAATCACGGACTGAAACACTTCTTTGAAGGTTACAAATGAGTGACACCCAACTTGAACCAGTACAGCATACCATCATGTGACCTTGAGATTTGTTTAATATACATTGAAATGTCAATCTGGTTTTCTTGTTTGTTCACGAGGACATGGAACCTTCAGTTTTGTCATAAAATATTCCAAGTATGCAGTGATAGTGAGGGTAACCTCTTCGGTATTGATGATGGGCCGAAGTCTGGGGACTAATCTCTTAAGTAGGAACAGAAACATCCTACGAACAATCCTTTTTCTGAATTAATTTTCTTATACTATTGGTAATTATGTAAGATATTTATCATTAGCGAACATGTATAAACATGTGCTTGTGTTGTCTTTTATCTAAACTGGAAATAGTTATGATAATATTCTATGCTTGTCTTTATACTTTTCATCACATTGAAGCACAAAGGATACCTGCCTGTTGATACTTGATACATCTTTTGATATTTAATGACCAAAAATCATGAATTTTGTGTTGCAGGAATCTGATGACCTTCCAATTGGCCAACAAAAGATAGCTTGTCATACAACAACACTAGTATCCACACCAACTTCTACACCAAATGTTTCTGGGATTTTAGTACCAGCTGCCCCAGCTCAACCAAGTATCCATGTGGTGCCTCCACCAACCTCTGCACTAGAGTCGAAGATGAACCGTTACGTTATAACAGCAGGACAGATCAAGTCTTCCAGTGATAATAAACCTCCTGAGGACTCCAGAAATTTAAAATCAAATGAGAATTTAAAATCAGGTGAGGCTTTTCAGAAAATCATTGATCTTTTATTTGAAATTTTACTTTATGCTGTTAAAGATCCCTTTAAATAGTAATATAACCAGAAAAACAAAATTGCAGAGTCTGGACCTCGTTTTAAAGAGCATATAAGTTAGCCTCGGTTGGAGATATGAGGTACATTTGTATGTGGTTTGATCCTTACTCAGTTGGTTTGTGTTTCTCAGGAAGACAAAATCATGTGTTATCATAATTGTATCTTTGAGTAAGATGCATAGCCCTTATTTCCCTAGACGGCATGCAGTGGACTGTCCACATGGTCTTTAGTGTGGCAGAAAGGTACTGAAAACCATACCCTACCTCTAGAGGGAAACCCTGCCTCAAAATGACCCTTGCTCTTCAAGAGGGAATAAACTTTGTACATATCAAATATATCCGAATTTATAATGAACTACATATGTACTCATGGAAACTCGTTTTTATGTTGGCCGGAACACCGTTTATAATCCAAAACCTTATGGTTAAGATACTACATCACATTCTTCAAAAATGTTCTGTTTTCATTAATAAGTTCTCTGGTATTTATTGAATACTGACAAGTTTGTCAATATATAATAATTTTGTAAATTTCAAATTCAGCATCCAAGCCTTCTAAGCAGACAGGAAAGAAAGACCCACCATGGTATCCTTCCAGCAAATCCAGAAAAAAGGTCAGTACTTGGTTTATGGGGAGGAGAAATATTTAAATTCTGTTTAGTAGATGCAATTTTGTGTAACAAGGCTGAGATTTGATTTCCCAGGTTTTGGATGAAATATTCAATCAATTTTCTGTTAAATAATGTTATACTGTAAAGCACTTCTTATTTTTCGTAGGATTTATTTTCACGTTAATATGCATGGAAAATCAATCGCAAATTCAAAGCTCTCGTGAGTATTTGTACAGAATTCCTGATGACATCCATCAAAGTCCATATATCTAATACCCCATTGTTTGTAAATTTGAAGTCATTTTTAAAGTAATTTCTAGATTACCCTTCTCGAAGAAATTGTGTATTCGCAAATATTACTGAAGAGGTAAGTTGGTGAAACAAAGTATTTGAAATCTGAGTGATATACATTAACATTCATCGAGTTATGGTAGGAAAATGAAGACACTTAGTCACCTCACATCATGATGGTGTACTTCATAGCAATCAAACATTTGTCTGTCCAGCAGATGTTTCAGGTCTAGAGATTACTCGGAATAAAAAAGGATGGTTTTGGGATATCAAATAGAGTCATTCTCAAAATCTTAACATCAGTTTTTCTTTCTCTTGATTTGGAAAAATAATTGTGATGGTAGACAAAAAGTTGAAATAAAACATGGATTTGACTTTCAAACATTATGGTCATATAGGTCAAGGTCATTGGTGAAAAGGGCTTGCTCTTCATGGCACAGTAGTGGTCCTGATCAAGTTTATAAAAGATAATGCTTAAAACAAATTGTTTCTAGTAAATGATCTTTGCCAGCTCTAGTCATAACGTAAGATGTTCAGCACAGTTTCTCCAGTGTAAACTCACAGATCAGGCTGTCTTACTCTCTTAAAATAACTTAAATGATTTAAAATGTCTTTAAAAATTGTTGGTTAAGATTCAAGTCTTTAAATGGTAAATATGGTTGTTATTGGTAGGATGTGATGTTGAAACATAGGAGTAGTTGTAGGGTTGTATCTGTTTTTCATTGTTCATTTGAATCATATTCATAATTTAGATTTTAGTGGACGGAGGATATTGGGTTTTTTTTTTTTTTTTTTTCCGAAAATTTCTTTTTAGAATGGAATTAGTTGATTTCACAGTATTGTGAAAATTGGTTGAATATTTCTTTCGTTCTTGTATAAACTGGGAAACCAAAGATATCAAAGAAATATTACTCTTTAACTTTGATTATTCTAATTAATCATAATAGTACTGTATAACATTTAACTTGCTGCCTACATTTTCCTTTTCAATATCTTTGTCTCGACAGAATGCAAAGTACAGCCTTTCTGAATTCTTGATATTAAAACTACATATACTAGTTATGGTATTAAATGGAACTATGCTTGAAAAACTATTTTATATTAACACATTTGTGATTCACTTTTTTCAATGCTGCAAATTTATTAAAAAAGATACTTTATATAATTAATATAAGCTCTTCATTTTAATCCTACAATCTGACAGCATAAATATTTTATCATTTTCATTCAACTGGCAAAACATTCTAGAATAAGAATTAAATTGTTTACAAAACAGTTATTATTTTCTGGATTAGAATTATGAATAGTCTCTTGTATGATGGATCAGGTTGAGTAGGGATAAACATGTGTAGGGATGTTTGAATCTATTGCCCTGTTCAACTTCTGGATGCACACTGCATTTCAAGGCAATATTTCTCCTGCATGACTTTGGTTTTCTTGAAAAATCTTAATTGGCTTACAAACGTAGGCAGGTGTTAGCGTCATTTTCTGATGAATGACACACTTTCTCACAGGAGGAAGGAAATGTACGTAGAACTGAGTTTGATGACATCACCTTTGATGAAATGTTGGAGTCGGACAATGAAGATTCAGTGGAGTTTAATTCCTGTGCTCGGACCATAGTTTATAACTCTACTCGCAGGTTTGTATTTAAACCATGTAAGTCCAAAAGCTCCAGTGTACCTTTTCAACAATTTTTCTGTGACAAATTGATAAGCATGTGAGATTGATAGCTGTGTCTGTATGTGCATCTTTCCACTGTCTTGGCTGGGCTCTATTTCTTACACTGCTTCTCACTTGATCTTCTTAATTTGGGTTTGGGTTCAGTGGGCTTGATGAGGCAATGTAGGTCACTCTGACCTACATTTTGACCATTGACCTACATCAAAGAAAAATTTGTTCAGGCTATCTGTTACATTTTAAAGTTTGTTTTGCATTAATTTCACATTTGTTGGGGAACTGTATTTCATAGAATTGTTTTGCTAGTCCCTTGCCGGTGAAACCGAAGGGTACTATAATGTTGGTCTCCGTATGTCTGTCCATCTGTCTTGTCTGCATGTCCAGATGTTGGTTTCCAAAGGATAGCTTGAGAAAAGATGGATGGATTTGAATGAAACTTCATTAACTGTTAGGTTATGAGGTAATACAGAGTGAAATTGAGTTTGGGTTCGAAAAGTCAACTACAAATGTCACTTGCTAAAAATAGATAGTTGTGGTCAAATTTTGATTTCCAGATGGTAGCTTCAGAAAGGATAGATGGATTTGGTTGAAACTTCTTACAATGTTAGCTCATGAGTTAATACAGATTGGAATCATGTTTGGGGTCAAAAGGTCAACTGCAATGGTCACTGGAGCTAAAAATAACTTTACTCATCATATTTTGGTTTCCGGATGGTAACTTGTGATATGGTTGATTGATTGCATTGAAACTTGATGCAATCTAACACTATTAGAAAATATATAGGTGTGATTGAGAGTAGGAGTCAAAAGGTCTGCTGTAAATGTCATTTTACTACAATAGACATTTATCACCATTATTAAGGCCTGGCATCAAAGATGTGGGAAGCAGAGCTTACCAAAAATAAAACCAGTAATCAGCTTACCAATGTTCAAGGTCACTGTGTCAAAAGGTCAAGGTAAAATTTTCATGTACACACTGACAATGTAACTAGAATGGTTAAAGTTATCATTAAAATTCAGGCACAAAGCCGGGTTCTGGTTCTGGTTTTTACGTCCTTCCTGTCAAAACACTAGTTTTTGAAGGGAAGACTTTCATTGTTAAATTGAGACATCTTTTTATGGCTTTCAATGTTTATGTTGCTTATAAATTAATTAATTAATTAATGGCAGGGGACGAGTGTTACATGCAACACTAACTGTAAGCTTGTTCATAACAATTTTGACCATTGAAAACATTTCACATTTTGTTGGTCCACTATCTTGGAATTCAGATTTTCATTGGCATCACTACCATAAGCTTCAATCTCCAATATTTTTCTAACTTCTTGTGCCTGGTCAGCTTTAGTGTAGCAGATTGATACTTGTCTTTATTCTCGGATAACATTCAGATCATTGAAAAAAATAGTTATGATTTTAATGTTGGTAAATCTGTTACTAAATTTATTCATATTCAAACTTATAAAGCAGGTATTGTTTAATGAGAAAGCAGTTTTGTAGGCTTTGCTAGTTGCTCAGTTCATTTTGTATAAACTAACCAATGTATTTGAAATGAATAGATACAGTCAAGCATGCATGGGTAAGTGATTTAAGATATGTGTACTTTTTACCTACTGACTTTCAAACAGATATCCTATCTTATTTTTATGGCAGGAACAAGCAGAGGTGTACATGTCATACTGACAACTGTAGCCAGGCTACAGGAAGTTGCCAAGGAGTCAAGGCCACACATTCTGGGGAACAGAAGTCCAACAAGACAGTTGAGGTTGGCGATTCCTTGAGTCCCATAGTTATCTCCCCTGGGAACACCCCTCCTTGCTCGCCATCTAATCAGAACCTCAACAAGTTGTCTGACCGGATTGGTTACACTGGGTCAAAGAATGTAGGTTTTACTTAATAGCTTGTGTGCACTGAGGTACATGTATTCATACACTGAAATCAAGCTATATTGTTATTTTATTGTCAAAATGAATCAGCTATAGTGGGTCAAAAAATTTAGTTTCAAATTAATATTTCACTTGCTCTAATGAACTGCAATGAAATTTCTTTGAGCATTAGAAAAAAGAGTGACAAAATCCTATAAGATAGATGATTTCTATATTCCTATTAGTGTTGGTCTTAAGTAATTCAATCTTTGTCATTGTAGGTACCAGCTATTAATGCAAGAAAGGCCATCCACACAGGCTGGCACACACAGTGGGTGTGTCTGAAAACCAGTAAGAAAAAGCCTGAAGAGGAGGAGGAGAGCTATGAGATACGCCTACTGGAAATGATCTCCAATTGCAATTGGGAAAATGCTAAACAAAAAATCTTGTCTAAGATATCTAATCAGATCTCTCGTGAACAGTACCCCAACCCTCGACAGATGATTGTGGGAGACTTTTGTATCTCGTTCCTGCCTCGTTCTGACAAACCAGCTGTGATACCTCCAGAGGTGAAGGCTAAACTACCCAAATCTATCTTCTCAATCAGGATAAAGGTGGAGAAGCGCAGCCATGCTCTAAAGACTCGCCTTGGTGAATTTATCAATGCACAAGAGAAAATCCTAAAGCCAAGCTTAGAATCACAAGATGTTATAGCCCTGGACTCTCCTCCCACTGTCACTACCACCACAACCTCAAGTACCTGTTCTAGCACCGGTTTACTGACTGGAGGCATCTCTGGTCTCAGTCATCTTCAAATTAAAGGCCACACTACATCCACCACCAGGAAGTGGATACCAGTGTCCAGTACAGAGGGTAAAACAGTGACCAGTCCTTCCCATGTATCACCACAAGGTGTGTCGTCCCTGTCCACCATTTTTAAACCTGGGATGTGCACCAAGGTTGGTGCTTCTCCAAGCAGCACTGTCATTAAGAGTCAATCTAACAACCTTGTAATTCTACAGAATACTGGTGGACAGAAATATGTACTGGCATCCCCTATCACGCAGCCTAACCTCCAACTTGTGTCTCCTGCCAACTCTAGCAGTCCCATCATCAGCTCAAGTGTGTCTCAAAGCCTTCTTCGGGGGACATCTGCCAGCCTAGCTGTATCCACAAGTGCCACAGTTGTTAGTTCCAATGTTCCAGTTACTACTTCAACCCTCTCTGGGATACATCCTACTTCCTTTAGTAGTACAGGTGTTCCTGTTGTGATATCCACCATAACATCCACTACAAGTGCATGTGCACGGACTCCTACATTAACCACACCTATTGCTAGTATAGGGATGCCTATCATGAATTCCAATCAGATATGTGCAAAGATAGGTGTTGTTCCCTCTGTCAACCCAAATACGCCAAGAGCTGTGTCTCCTGCCAACTCGGGGATCGCCCTCTTTGCATCCAATGTGCCTCAATCAAACAGCTCCAAAATTGGATCGACACCTGTATCTTGCCCCAATGTTATTAACATGACTTTCACTTTACCTGGTAAAAGCTCATCACATTCTACTCTTTCAACACATTCTGTACCTGTTAATCTCTTGGCAAATTCACAGGCTGTAACCATGGTTACTGTGGCTACCTCAGTTTCCCCAGCAAGTTCAGTCAAAGCTGTCCCAAGTCCTATGTCTGGCAGCTTGCTAACACAGCTACCTGTTCAAGGTATGCATCCAAGTGTGAAATTAGCTTCTGCCGGTCCTGGTGTGGTGTCCAAACTTGTTCCAATAGTGCCTAAACCAAAACTAAAGAAGATACTCATCCCCATCCAAACTCCACCAATCAGCAGTTTTATTCCTGTTACCACTAGCAACCAGCCCAGGGAGACCACAGCTCAAAAGATTCAGAAGCTAGTCAAAGCTAACAAGGAATCTAGCACTAAGGAGGAGTCACCCATGGTTTTAGTTAAAGAAATGCGTTTAGGTCCAAGTGATAATAAAACACTGGTGGAAACGAACACAAAAGAAAAGGGAGATGCAATGTTCCATTCTTTCATCTTGAGCCGTCCCCATGCCTCTACTGAAGAGGGGGAGGAAACACAGGACAAGAAGCGAAAAAAACAGGTGAAGGATGGTGACAACCAGGAAATTGAAGGTGATACTGAAGATAAAAAGAAGAAAAAACGGAAAAAGAAAAAACCAAAATCATCTGAAGGTGATGATGGGGAAACAAAGTCACAAGAAGAAGGAAAAAAGGTCTCCAAAAAGCGGAAGAAGAAGAAACAAACAAACAAAATTGATAATTTAATACAAAATGACAACTCTGAAAGTGTTGCTTATAGAGCTGACAGTTCATCTCCACCTACAAAAAAGTGTCGCAATGATTCAATGGAATTGGCGGAGGAAGAATCATTGACTTGTGACTCTGTTAAAGAGAAAATTGTGTGTGATACAAAGTGTGATGGGTCTGAAGATATGGAAACAAATACAAGGAGTGGCTCTGAATCAAATGTGATGACCAATTCTAAATGTGATGTAAGATTAGACACAAAGTGTGATAAAGTTGTTTCCTCAGACTTGGAAGATGAAAAAACTTCCCCGAGAGAATCAAAGTGCATCAAAGATCTGGTGACAAGCACTGATATTTCAGAAATCAATTACAGCAAAAATGATATGGACTCATCCTGTGGTCAAAACAAAATGGCCAGGCCAGATCTACATTCTATTCTCTTTAGTCAGATTGAGAACTCTATTCGTGAGTATGATCTACCAAACACCTCAGAATACATGCCATCTACAGGAGAGAGTGAAAAATTGACTCTTGGAAAACCTGAAATCCGAACCTGTGAAGTGACTGGCAGTAGGCAATGTATTGCCTCAACAGCAGATCTGGACACTCCTCAGGCGACAGAGAATAAAGATGGAGCACCCAATACAACAAATATCCTTACTGAAGGGGTGATAGAAAATGTTGCTTGTTCTCCAACCAATGTCAATTTCAACACTTCTGGAAATGAAGCTTATAATTCTACCTTAGAAAGTCTCCAGACTGCTCGGGTGATAGAGAAGAAAGGTAACAATATAATTTCTGAAATTTCAGACACCAAGAATTCCAATAGCTTGCCTACAGCAAGTACCTCGGATGGAGTTGATAAGAAGTCAAATGTTTTATCTAAAAATGATTTGACAGGTCCTCAAGTGTGTGGCATGCCTAGTATTGATGACCAAATGATAGTACTAGATTCCCCATCTCAGTTTGAAATGGATGCAGAGTCTAGTGAAGGGGACCGTCAGTCCTGTGAAACGTCTCAGAATTCTCTGAATGATCTAAAGATGTTGGCAACTGTTCAAAAGGCAAGTGTTGACATCCTTCAGATCATTGAGGGATCCAAAAATCCTGAGGGGGCAAAGCACCCACTTGTACCTGCTTCTGGAGAGGATGATTTGTTAGACAAAAATATCCATGCTACACAAAACAAGGTCACAATACCAGAGAATGAAATAGAAAATGGAGTGGTGGGCAAGCTGGTTGGGAAGAGCATGGATATTGTTAACAGCATTCGTCACCATGTCAATATGTCACAGGATAAAATCAGAGAGACCAAAGTGAAGGCTGGGAGTGAACAAGAGGTAAAAATACCAGAGGAGCTTGAGGAAGAAGAAGGTACATGGGACTTGGGGATGAGTCACGAAGGATGCGATGATGTCATTATAAGCTTGAGTGATGATGAATCAAATAGCCAAGAGGATGGAAATCCAGTTGATGATGGAACTGTCAGTGTAAGTAAAGAAGGAAGTGATAAACAAAGTGAGGTTCACACACAGGCAGATCCAGTTTCAGTAATTGTCATAGACGATGAAGACAAGCCCAGTGATGATTTACAAAACCAGCAGTCAACAGCTTCAAATAAAGCCAAGTCTGACAGAGTTACTTCCCATGCCAGGAATGACGACATTAAAGAGGTGGGTACTTTTTTTTTAAACTTTATTTTCAGTTTTAATCATAAAAACATATTTCATCATAATAATATGTTTGGAAATTTTTGATAGACATTTCCACACTATAATTTCATTTTTGTTTATAAAAGTACATCATTCCTTTAATTTGAAATTGTATGAAATATTACACATGTTTGAAAAAATAAAACTTTATGATGTTTGAAGCAAAAATGACTCGCTTTTACAAAGTCTTTTTTTTTTTTTTTTTTTATTTGTGATGTTACATGTACGTTGTAGTTTTTTGGTTAATTTGTATTGGTGGGCAGTTTGGAATTGTGTTTAATATGTTTTTGTAGTTGTATTGTTTTTAACTACGGTATTACTGTGGTAACAAAGTTCATCGCTAGGCGAAGGATATTTTTGAAATCTCAGTATGATATGTTTTTAATTCCAAGGTTCCCTGCCTTAATTATTGTGATAAAAAAAGATTGAATCAGTCCAACCAGTTACATTGAATTGAAATTGTCATCCAAGTTGATGATTACTGTTTTGCAAACATTCATATCAAAAGGTGGGCTAAATTAAATTTGATTTGAATTTTTAGATAAAGTGGAATTCATCTGTTTAATGTGAGCATAGGAAGAAGCCTGGATGACTGTTTTCCTGTAAGCAGTATCTTTTCTGCTACTGAATATTATTGTCACTTCTATCTGTTAGCTCAGATTCTTAATTTTCAAGTTGATTTTCATGAAACTTCAATTGATTGCTTGTTTCAGGTCATCCAGGTCATCAACAATGACTTCTCTAAAACTCTGTCTAAAGTCTTTCTAACTTCTTTATCTTGCAATCATTACTCTGAAACCTAAACAAATGTTTAGTGTAATACCGATACAATTATAACATATACCTAGATGGTTTTTTAATTTGTGATGCATGCTATCCACTTTAGCCAGATTCTGAAACACTTTAGGATTTTGGCTTTCCAGCTTTGCTGATACCGATATTACCTGCACCAAACTTTGTATAACTCAGTATGAGTGTTACACTTGTGTGTTTGTAATCTTATTAAAAGTTCAAGGTCATTCAGGAAATCCAAAAAATTGTCAGATAGCAGTCCAATATTTGACAATATTAAGCTTATCTGGTATATATACAGGACTTTTTGGGGTAACTATTGATCACATATGTGTCCTATATCAAAGCAGGAAACAAAGAGAACATTATGTCAGATTTCCCTTTTTCAGAATGATGATAGTGACATAGACATCGAGAATGCATCAGATGAGGAAACGGGCTCCAACCAGTTACAATTCTTGTTAAGGCAGGAGTCACAGACGGCCCAACAACTTCCCGCATGTTCTATACATAGCCACAAGGGAAAGCGTAAGGCCTCCCTCGACACCATCGACAACATGCTCAAACATAGTGTGGAATTTAGAGAGGTTTGTAATCTATATTTCTGTGTTGTACAAGGGCTTATTGATAAGTTGTGAGCTTTGTACTGTTGCAACTCCGGAAATGGTCAATAAAGTCCGTGATACTGTTATGACTGACAGGTGAGTTACAGAGAGATATATAGCCAGTAGATTTGGGATTTCACTGTAAAGATCTTCCAATGAGGAAACTCTCAGCCTGTTGGGTATCAAGACTTCTGACAGATGATCAGAAGCACGCGAGGCAGATTTTGTTACAAGCTAATATGAACCTTTTACAAGCAGATCCTGCTAACTTTTTTGACTAGGATGAAACGTGAGTCCATCATTTCATATCCACACTGTATAAAACACTCTGCATGGGGGTGTTAAATGCTGGGTTGATGTCTACACTGTATAAAATACTCTGCATAGGGGTGTTAAATGCTGGGTTGATGTCTACACTGTATAAAATACTCTGCATAGGGGTATTAAATGCTGGGTTGCTGAGAGTTCAATGGAATACAGGTTACTGATTATTAATCGATGTTTTAGTAGTGATGGTTGCTTTGTCAAACACTAAATCAGACAGTGATTATTAAATCAGTGAATGGTGTTTCATTATTACACTGAAAACTTCTATAAAAATTCAGAGATATAGTTATGTTTAGGTCTTTTGGTCGCTGTTTTGGCAGTTATAGATTTCATTGTCTTCATTAAGTTATATTCTTCATATATACCGTTTATGTGAGGCTTTTTTGGTACAGTGATAACAGAACTCTGTTGAGATTAGATGGCCAGACACCTGGGATTTGTTCATAGTTATCTTTCAATCACAATTATGAATGGATTCATTTATGGTAAATATGGTTTTTAATCTTCTAGAACCAAATTCTTCAGTAATATCTTGTAAGTATGCTAAATATGGTTTGATTTCATTGTAGGGCATTGTGAAATCCAGCAAGAATTCTTACACATCCAAGGAAAAGATCTCAAGGCACAGTTCAATGTACGGATATGTTTGTTTATGATTTTATTTTGGTTAAAAATGAGATGAATTAAAGGAAAGCAAATTTCTTCCATGGTCTTATTCTCAATATGTGCAGTTGACTGATTGTTATTTTCTTCAGTGAAAAAAAAAATATACAAAAATTGTACTTTATAACAATAAAGTGCATGTTTTGAAAAAGATCATTATCATTATTGTGTTTGTAATGGATATTGTTCAGTAGAAGAAGTTCATCTGTTCTTTACTACACTTTCCATTTTGTTTTTTTTATTTTATCCACTCATCATTGACTCTTTCAATCTAGGGAGAAACAGCGAAGAAGAGAACTGAAAAATGGATTCAAAGATTTGATTGAAGTCATCTTTGGTCAGGATGATGCTGGTCACAAGAAACCTTTGTCTGTAGAGGCAATTCAAGGGGCCTCTAAAATCAAGGTTCTACACATGGTAAGAAATCTTTTCAGGGGGCCTCTAAAATCAAGGTTCTACACATGGTAAGAAATCTTTTCAGGGGGCCTCTAAAATCAAGGTTCTACACATGGTAAGAAATCCATTCGAGGGGCCTCTAAAATCAAGGTTCTACACATGGTAATAAATCCATTCGGGGGGCCTCTAAAATCAAGGTTCTACACATGGTAAGAAATCCATTCAGGGTGCCTCTAAAATCAGGTTCCCCCCTTGGTAAGAAATCCATTCGGGGTGCCTCTAAAATCAAAGTTCTACACATGGTAAGAAATCCATTCAGGGTGCCTCTAAAATCAGGTTCCCCCCTTGGTAAGAAATCCATTCGGGGGGCCTCTAAAATCAAGGTTCTACACATGGTAAGAAATCTTTTCAGGGGGCCTCTAAAATCAAGGTTCTACACATGGTAAGAAATCTTTTCAGGGGGCCTCTAAAATAAAGGTTCTACACATGGTAAGAAATCCATTCGGGGGGCCTCTAAAATCAAGGTTCTACACATGGTAAGAAATCTTTTCAGGGGGCCTCTAAAATCAAGGTTCTACACATGGTAAGAAATCCATTCGGGGGGCCTCTAAAATCAAGGTTCTACACATGGTAAGAAATCTTTTCAGGGGGCCTCTAAAATCAGGTTCCCCCCTTGGTAAGAAATCCATTCGGGGGGGCCTCTAAAATCAAGGTTCTACACATGGTAAGAAATCTTTTCAGGGGGCCTCTAAAATCAAGGTTCTACACATGGTAAGAAATCCATTCGGGGGGGCCTCTAAAATCAAGGTTCTACACATGGTAAGAAATCCATTCGGGGGGCCTCTAAAATCAAGGTTCTACACATGGTAAGAATTCCATTCGGGGGGCCTCTAAAATCAAGGTTCTACACATGGTAAGAAATCTTTTCAGGGGGCCTCTAAAATCAAAGTTCTACACATGGTAAGAAATCCATTCGGGGGGCCTCTAAAATCAAAGTTCTACACATGGTAAGAAATCCATTCGGGGGGCCTCTAAAATCAAGGTTCTACACATGGTAAGAAATCCATTCGGGGGGCCTCTAAAATCAAGGTTCTACACATGGTAAGAAATCCATTCGGGGGGCCTCTAAAATCAAGGTTCTACACATGGTAAGAAATCCATTCGGGGGGCCTCTAAAATCAAGGTTCTACACATGGTAAGAAATCCATTCGGGGGGCCTCTAAAATCAAGGTTCTACACATGGTAAGAAATCCATTCGGGGGGCCTCTAAAATCAAGGTTCTACACATGGTAAGAAATCTTTTCAGGGGGCCTCTAAAATCAAGGTTCTACACATGGTAAGAAATCCATTCGGGGGGCCTCTAAAATCAAGGTTCTACACATGGTAAGAAATCCATTCGGGGGGCCTCTAAAATCAAGGTTCTACACATGGTAAGAAATCCATTTGGGGGGGCCTCTAAAATCAAGGTTCTACACATGGTAAGAAATCCATTCGGGGGGCCTCTAAAATCAAGGTTCTACACATGGTAAGAAATCCATTTGGGGGGGCCTCTAAAATCAAGGTTCTACACATGGTAAGAAATCCATTCGGGGGGCCTCTAAAATCAAAGTTCTTGTGATTAGGAAGCCACTTAGGGGGTTCAATGTTGTAAGAAATCAATTCACAGTTCATTTAAAATCAAGATTCCCCTCTTGGTAAGAAATCCATTCGGGATGCCTCTAAAATCAAGGTTCCCCCCTTGGTAAGAAATCCATTCGGGGTGCCTCTAAAATCAAGGTGCCTCTAAAATCGAGGTTCCCCCTTGGTAAGAAATCCATTCAGGGTGCCTCTAAAATCAAGTTCCCCCCTTGGTAAGAAATCCATTTAGGGTGCCTCTAAAATCAAGGTTCCCCCCTTGGTAAGAAATCCATTCAGGGTGCCTCTAAAATCAAGGTTCCCCCCTTGGTAAGAAATCCATTCGGGGTGTCTCTAAAATCAAATTTATCCTTATAGTAAGAAAGCCAATAAAATTTCCTTTAAAATCAAGGTTGCTCACTTGGTAAGAAAGCCAATCTGGAGGCCTCTGAAATCTAGGTCATATACAGGGCAAAAAAGCCAGTCAGATGCTTCCTGATCATAATCAAGCCAGTCAAAAGTGGTGCTAAAATCATACCCAGGCTTGTCCATATCTTTTAGAATTGTGATTCATGTGTGTAATTACCTTTACTTATAGGCCCTGAACATGATTAAGGAGAACGAGGAGAGAAGCGCACAATGTGTTCGTACTATAGACACTCTGCGGATTCAGAACAAAACACTTCAATTCCATCTTAACCGGTCACGAAGTAAGTATACGCTTATCTCCCCTTAGACCAAACTTCTGTATCATATTGCAAGATGGTGCTTTTGGATTTCTAAATGTCAGTGTAATAAAATGTTCTGATATGTTTTGAACTTTCTGTGCAAAATATTCATTCTAAAACTCTGGGTAGACTTTTTATTGAAAATGGAGCATGGCATACATGTGTCATCGCAAAGCTCATTTAACATCCTTAATTATTGACAGGAAATCTTGTTTTTTTACAAAGTCAGTTCTGTGATTTGACCAAAATTATTATACTTTAATCTAGTATGTTTTAAGTGAGAATGTGATTTGACCAAAATTATTATACTATAATCTAGTAAGTTTTAAGTGAGAATCCTCAAATTAAATAATTTCCTAGACCCTGTGTGAGTTTTGTCATTACATTTATGAATAATTAATTAACAATTCAGTTTATCAAGATCATATGGTATTTTTGATTATGCTTTGTTAGACTACTGCAGTTTTTAATTCTTTGTTATAATGACATATGTATTTAATGGATCAATACCCTGGTATGAAACTTGTGTGTTCTGTGGTAATTTTAATCTGTTTGATAACAGTGATGTGTGTACCAGTATATATATAACTTTTATCTATCACATCAATTTTACTAAGTAGAGGACCATGTGGGAGATCAGTCTTTAGCTAAACATGTAATCCTCCGAAAACGAAAATGAATTGATTTTGAAATAATATATAATAATAGTAAGTTAATATTAACTGATGTTGCTCGAGTTCATAGTCATATATATATCTTTATGTTCCGCTTTAATTGAAATGGTTGATTAAATTTCAGGTGAGTTGATTAATTCTGGTATGGCTGCAGTAAAGATTCAAGATATTTTGAACAAGATTTCCAAGACTTGTCAATTCATCTTTGCTAAAAGGGAGATGTTGATGAAAAAGAGACTTGAGACTCAAAAGTCCGCTCTTGAAACATTTACAACACCTGAGGTAAAAGCTGAGGTGTCATCGGAGCCAAAGTCTATTATAAAATCTAAAAAGACAAAATCAAGTTCCAAAACAAAACCAGTGCAATCACAAAACTTGAAAGCTGCACAGCGAAAAGCTCAGGTGGTCACCCCAATTCTGCCCAAGAGTGTAACATATACAGCAGTACCAGTACAATTGGTATCGACAGCACAGGTGATACAGATGGCACAAATCAACCAACAGGCCAATCCTGAGATTTACATTGACAATGCTGAAGATCGTGGCACTCAAATCAAGGAGGAACGTCTAAGTGAAGATGAATATGCCCAAGACATGCCCCTCCAAGTTGGAAATGGCTGGTCCCTGCAGGAGGACAGAGCTGGAGTCAACAGCGCCTTGAATGAGAACAGGCAGAGGGTAAGCAGTAATACAACAAGTAACCATGGCAATGATAAGATGGAGGAGGAGGAGTTGGATCGTATGAACACACAGTCACCTGTTTTCTCAGATGTGGATATTTCTGAAAATTATTTTGTCCAAGAAGAACAGGATGATGAAGATGATAATATGGATGTTGGAGGGGATGGTCATCTCACCTCGTCGCATACGTCTAGCGACATGGAATACAAAGTCATTGACACCTCAAGTCACTCAGAGGTCATGGTGGGCTATATACCAGAGGATAGAGGTGAACAGGACAGAGTTAAACCTCTGGATTATACAGACAAATCTGATAAGGACAGTAGTACACCCGCCCAAGGTGTTAGCTAAGGGTCAATTTGTTTTGTGTAGTGATGACAGGAGAAAACTTAGGAAACACATGTTGTTAGGAAGAGGCAAATTTCTCTTAGTATTTGAAAAATCTTCAAAATATGTGTGCAGAGCTGATGCTTAACATTTTGAAGTGTAAAACCTCTTAGGATGATGGTCTTTGGAAGAGGTTGGGATCTCAGATATTGGTTTTGTTATGCTGATGAACGGTAGCTGTTGGTATCTCCACATGGTCTGATGTGTATACAAATGTCCAGAAAGAAGCTGTCATTTAAGGCCTAGATTTCAGAACGCACATGTCAAGCATAGGAAGGGAGACAATTCAGTGCCTCGAGACTTCCACAGAGCAGCAGTTATTTTGTGCCTGTGGATAAGTGTTATACTTACACCTGTTCACCGTAGACTTCATGTGCTTGCAGATCAGGTGTGCGATTGTAACAGGTGTGTTACATTGGCACAGGTGTGTGAGTTGGTGCTTACAAAGGAACATCATACAGGTGTGTTAAGTCAGATTTGCACACTATAGCATCATTTGTCTGTCTTTGCTTTCATATTTTCAGTAGAGGTGGATGAGCTGGTCTAATTAGGCAATTTCATTAATTTTGTTGTACTGTTATGAAAAATGTTTATGGGATATTTGCTATCGCGTATTATCTCTATACCTTAGTATTGATAATCATAATTTATTGGCTTACAAGTTTTGTAAGAAAGGAAATCCAAGTAGCCCTCGGCTTTTGATTGTAATTGTTTATGTGTATGCAGTTTATGTAGTCAATATGGTAAGTCACTATACTCCCTGTGAGAATTTAGGATGTTTTATGTTTACGCAGTGTAAGTGGTGTACAGAAATTCAGGTTCTGATACAGTACAGTTGACTGACAAAACAGTTGACCTAGTAAAATGAAAATGAATGTATGTTTATTAAAAAAAAAACATATGTACATAGTTTTCTTTATGTTATCCAGAAAGATATTCCTGGAAGAGAATGTTATGTGTTATTAGTGCTGATATTACATGTAGTCGTAAATAGAGTTAAATATTTCCCTTCTGTATGCCTCAGTAACCTACAAGCTATGGCTGCTATGCTAATTAAGTTTAATCCAATACAGGAAAATTACACGTGTACAATTTCTTATGTAACCTGTCAAACCCATTTTAGATAAAAGTTGTAAATGGTTTTCCACTTGTACAGAAAATATGGTAAAGGTTGGTTAATAATTTTCCATTTCTAAGTTCCCACCTTCATTATTGTCTTATCGCCTGCTTCATCTTAACATTTTCACCGTCCATGCATACATATTTGTCCCTCCAATCCAGAAAATGCTTTTAATTTAGCACAACTGTAAAAAAAATCAGTCTATGGAATTAAGAATTTTGTTAAGTTCTGAAATGCTAGCATACTTGGTAATTGAGTATGTGTGTTGTATATACAGAATGGTTTCTTTATGTAATTATTGTACATAATATCACACATAGATGACCCTAAGGGTACCTTGACCCCAGTCAGGTCAGACATTCTGTGTGATGGCAGCATGTGTTCACAACCAGTAGCTGGATAGCTTTATAGATCACGAATGTAAGAGAGAATGTGTATGATACATATACTGTCAGCATCTTTGGTATATAACATGTGTATACAGTCTTAACTGTATCTTAACAAAGTTGAATGTGTTTGTTGAGCATGATAGATACACAAGTGTAAATTGTGAATGTATTTTTACATGTATATTTACAATGAAGATGTAATACATTGTAAAATATGTAATACATTGTAAAAGATGTAATGCATTGTAAATGTTTATATACACGTGTAACTTTACATGGTTCACATTGGTATGAGATACAGTACATTGTATGTGTATGTAAGTATGCACTTTGAAATGTGTGTATGGTGACATGTATATACATGGTAACTAATGTATCTACATTGTAAACAAAATACAGATTATAAATTACAGCAGTATATTGTAATGGATGTGTTAATTGAACCTCTGTGCATTTTTATGTACCTGGTATGTGCACATGTACATTGTGATATATTGTATTACATTGTGATATATTGTATTACATTGTGTGTACATTGTGATATATTGTATAACATTGTATGTACATTGTGATATATTGTATTACATTGTATGTACATTGTGATATATTGTATTACACTGTGATATATTGTATTACATTGTATGTACATTGTGATATATTGTATTACATTGTATGTACATTGTGATATATTGTATTACATTGTATGTACATTGTGATATATTGTATTACATTGTATGTACATTGTGATATATTGTGTTACATTGTGATATATTGTATTACATTGTATGTACATTGTGATATATTGTATTACATTGTGTGTACATTGTGATATATTGTATTACATTGTATGTACATTGTGATATATTGTGTTACATTGTGATATAGTGTATTACATTGTATGTACATTGTGATATATTGTATAACATTGTATGTACATTGTGATATATTGTATTACATTGTATGTACATTGTGATATATTGTATTACACTGTGATATATTGTATTACATTGTATGTACATTGTGATATATTGTATTACATTGTATGTACATTGTGATATATTGTATTACATTGTATGTACATTGTGATATATTGTATAACATTGTATGTACATTGTGATATATTGTATTACATTGTATGTACATTGTGATATATTGTATTACACTGTGATATATTGTATTACATTGTATGTACATCGTGATATATTGTATTACATTGTATGTACATAGTGATATATTGTATTACATTGTATGTAAATAATGATAAATGTTTATCATGTTGTATACATTATATTGTATACAACGTGTTGTATATATATACATTACAGTGAGTTAACATTGGCTGTGTCAGAACTTTGTGTTGCTACTGATAAGTGTGCTCCTGTAAAGTGATAGATCTGTGTATATGGATACATGTCTAAACAGGACGAGCCACCGTTATGTATTCAGGAGAAACTTGAAATTTAGGACCTGATAACATGGTCTTTTAATATATTTGTGAGCTAGAGAAGTTCACTGAATCTTCCATCTGTTTTTGTGGGATACTGAACTGTATTTCATGCATTGTTTCTCAGATATGTTGTATGAATGTGTTTATTAGATAAGTATTTAGAAGTAATATACACCTGTGGTGTACTGAAAGTGTGTCTCTATGACCCTTTATAATAACAAACTTTATTTATTTTTCAACAATTGCAAAGCAAAATTTTCCAACTTACATTAATCACTCTTATTGGCTGGAATGGAAGCCATGAGGAGTCTTACTGTGGGAGAAAACCGAAGTGGTCAGGCAGGTGATCCCATGCCTTTTCACATCCATTCCGGGAATTAAACCTCGGACAGCTTGATGAAAGGTGAATGCGGCATCTCTGCGCCACCCGACCACCTCATGACCCTTTGACTTTAAATACTGGTAAAATACAGGTTGTTCGGAAGAAAAAAATTCTTTGATCTGGGGTTATATAAATGTTTTGCAATCGGTTACTGTTGAATATCTAAGGTAGGGAAGCAGCTATTGAATATATAAGGTAGGGAAGCACCTGTTAAATATCTAAGGTAGGGAGGCAGCTGTTGAATATCTAAGGTAGGGAAGCAGTTGTTGAATATCTAAGGTAGGGAAGCACCTGTTGAATATCTAAGGTAGGGAAGCAGCTGTTGAATATCTAAGGTAGGGAAGCAGCTGTTGAATATCTGAGGTAGGGAAGCAGCTATTGAATATATAAGGTAGGGAAGTACCTGTTAAATATCTAAGGTAGGGAGGCAGTTGTTGAATATCTAAGGTAGGGAAGCACCTGTTGAATATCTAAGGTAGGGAAGCACCTGTTGAATATCTAAGGTAGGGAAGCAGCTGTTGAATATCTAAGGTAGGGAAGCAGCTGTTGAATATCTGAGGTAGGGAAGCAGTTGTTGAATATCTAAGGTAGGGAAGCACCTGTTGAATATCTAAGGTAGGGAAGCAGCTGTTGAATATCTAAGGTAGGGAAGCAGCTGTTGAATATCTGAGGTAGGGAAGCAGTTGTTGAATATCTAAGGTAGGGAAGCAGCTGTTGAATATCTGAGGTAGGGAAGCAGCTGTTGAATATCTGAGGTAGGGAAGCAGCTGTTGAATATCTGAGGTAGGGAAGCAGCTATTGAATATCTGAGGTAGGGAAGCAGCTGTTTAATATCTGAGGTAGGGAAGCAGCTGTTGAATATCTAAGGTAGGGAAGCAGCTGTTTAATATCTGAGGTAGGGAAGCAGCTGTTGAATATCTGAGGTAGGGAAGCAGCTATTGAATATCTGAGGTAGGGAAGCAGCTGTTTAATATCTGAGGTAGGGAAGCAGCTGTTGAATATCTGAGGTAGGGAAGCAGCTGTTGAATATCTAAGGTAGGGAAGCACCTGTTGAATATCTAAGGTAGGGAAGCAGCTGTTTAATATCTGAGGTAGGGAAGCAGCTGTTGAATATCTGAGGTAGGGAAGCAGCTGTTTAATATCTGAGGTAGGGAAGCAGCTGTTGAATATCTGAGGTAGGGAAGCAGCTGTTGAATATCTAAGGTAGGGAAGCACCTGTTGAATATCTAAGGTAGGGAAGCGGCTGTTTAATATCTGAGGTAGGGAAGCAGCTGTTGAATATCTGAGGTAGGGAAGCAGCTATTGAATATCCGAGGTAGGGAAGCAGCTGTTTAATATCTGAGGTAGGGAAGCAGTTGTTGAATATCTAAGGTAGGGAAGCAGCTGTTGAATATCTGAGGTAGGGAAGCAGCTGTTGAATATCTAAGGTAGGGAAGCAGCTGTTTAATATCTAAGGTAGGGAAGCAGCTATTGAATATCTAAGGTAGGGAAGCAGCTGTTTAATATCTAAGGTAGGGAAGCAGCTGTTGAATATCTAAGGTAGGGAAGCAGCTGTTTAATATCTAAGGTAGGGAAGCAGCTGATTGTTGTGACCTGCTTTTGATATAAAATACAAATGTCTCCACCATATTTTGATGTTTGTATTCATGTCCGACTTCGTACCTGCTTTAAATTAAATCTGTTCAGTACCTCCAAACAACAGATGGTGTTTCTCAGTTAGGAAGTAAACTTGATCTCATACCTAAGTTGTTATAGTCACACACACTGTGTTAATGAGGTTTCAGTTACTTGTGTTCTTTAATCTGTTATTGTTGAGATTTTGTACATGCACAGTTTTTTCTGTATCACATAAACTACATTTATCCTGTGTCCCTCCAAAAGGGCTATTGAAACAGTGTATACAGGAAAATACTCGCCAGTTGATTCTCATCCTTATTCACCTTATGGATGTGACAAGTGAAAATTCCTTAGTGTACATATTTCTGTACTTTCTACTGTGCAGGGCTACAATTTGATAGGCTAAGTATGAATTTCATCAGTGTGAGGTGTGAATTTCTTAGGGAGGAAAATTTCCCAGGTATACATCAGGCTGTATGTGAAGCTTTAACAAATATTACCATCATTACTCCAGCATATCATCTTTTAGTTCTGTCTGTTTTATAAAGTCACAGGAATTAGACAAATAATGAATTAACCATTGATAATTGAATGCTATATATATATATATATATATATATATATATGTCTTTTTATATATATCACTACACAAGCCCCTGTGATCATCAACAGAAAATTTATACTGGATAGTAAAATTATGATAAGCTATTCACGAATTATATTCTGGAATTAATGAATTGTTGCTAGTATGGATTTGAAATTAGTATAAGGTATATGTATCTTTCAGTTGAATATATTTCGGCTTATTTTTAGTTAAATATAATGGTTGGAAATTCTAATGAAATATACATAACATGCCTGTGTACATTTCTATACTTATCAACACTGAATGCATGAATTATAGGTTAAACATAGATACATCACAGAATAATGACCTTCCATTGTTGATTTATTTAGCACATGTAACGAAGGGAGATAACTGTTGTAACATTGAGGTGAGTTACTTGATTTGTGATCTTAATTCTACATAATTGGTTCCTGTATGGACCATTTGTCCACTACCAAACCATTGGTATTGGTACTGACCTTTAAGTTGATTGATGTATGTACTCTCTAAGTAAATGGCCTCGTCTCAATTTCACAAACTTTCCTTAGAAATTTGTTTCAGAGAGTAAGAATTCTTTTGTTTTTCTTTGAGTTTGGCAAAAAATTTCAAATGTATTTGTCAATGTGTAGATTGTCTATGTGTTTTCTCTATGAAACAGGTTGATGATTTACAGTCTCAGTCTATCCTTTAACTTTCACAAATATCCACGAGAACTTGAGACCTTTGTACTGGCCACTAGAGGGCGTTTGTGATATTAAGACCAGGTCTGTGAATCGGTTTATTTCAAGATACAACTTTTTTTTTTGATGAAGTTAAGTTCAAGTCAGTCCTTTTGATATCTTTTGTGCATTGTTATGTATGTCAAGCTGAGATTTAAATAAATCTGCCATTCTACAACTACAACAGAAAGTGCTTTCCTTTCAGTTTTTATGGATGAAGATCGTGATGTAATTTTTTTAGAATGTTCTCTTTGAAATGTCAAAGCTGTAGCTGGCACATGTGAGACTAGTACAGTAGAAGTAGGTACACATTGTACTGTATAGTCTAGTAGTAGGTACACGTGGTACTGTATAGTAACAGGTACACGTGGTACTGTATAGTCTAGTAGTAGGTACAGGGGTACTGTACAGTAACAGGTACACGTGGTACTGTATAGTCTAGTAATAGGTACACGTGGTACTGTATCGTCTAGTAACAGGTACACGTGGTACTGTACAGTAACAGGTACACGTGGTACTGTATAGTCTAGTAGTAGGTACAGGGGTACTGTACAGTAACAGGTACACGTGGTACTGTATAGTCTAGTAGTAGGTACACGTGGTACTGTACTGTAACAGGTACACGTGGTACTGTACAGTAACAGGTACACGTGGTACTGTATAGTCTAGTAGTAGGTACAGGGGTACTGTACAGTAACAGGTACACGTGGTACTGTACAGTAACAGGTACA